CCGCCTGGCAGTTAAGAGGTTTTATTCCCTCCCTAACTTCAGGGGAAAATCCCTACCTGGGGAAACAACCTTTCTCGGAGAGGTGACCTTGGTTAAAACACATAGTGCCAAGAAGGTGAGCAGACATATTAAGAACAGTATGCCATATATGCCAGGTCCCTTGAAACATCAAGGATGGACCGGCTCCCAGCAGAACCACAGTACACAGACATCCCTCAAACACATGGTTAATCATTACGATTTAACCCAGCTAATGCCTAAAAAATACTACTTCTTGAAATGATCAAAACCTTTTCTTTTCACATAAAAAGAAAATTAAGAATCTAATTAGAAACAAATAAATATGGTTTGATCGCAGCACATTAAAAAGTTCCAAGGCGCGCTGTGCTATGGCGAGTGCTCAGATTACTGTGTTTTTCCAACTATATAAAGATGGGTGATGACAAGACGAGGAGCGAAGGGCTGTTCTGCAACGGGAGAACGAATAACAACCTGGTAAATGGGGGGTGGGGGGGGCACTGTGTTCAAAAAAGGAAATACTATCCTAAGTAAACCAAGGTCTTCAGTTTTTTGTTCCTGTTTAATTAGCCATTTTGTTTTTAAGAGTTAATATATAGTCTACTCCAATTTTAGAAAAATTTGAGTTGATATAGTGGTACCCAGACCAGAAAAAGAAAACTGTACTGACATTAGACCAAACTTCACACTTAGATCCTCAAGCAAATGGTGACAGGGAATGGCTCCAGGAAGGGCAAGGGCGGGAGGCGGCGGGAGGCTGCGGGCGGCGGCGGGCTGTGGAAAGGCCGACTCACAGGGCTACTCTGGCCTCAGCCTCAGCAGGTCCAGGCGTGTCTTCCCGACTGTGAGAACTTTTCCATCACATACAAGAACAGACACATTTTATAGCCTTGTGAACCCAGAATTTTTCTTAAAACAAACAAAGCCTTGTCTCCTTTATGAGCCACGATTGTTGTCACTGTCTGACTTCGTGGAGGAGCACATCCCATATAATAAACGGCGAATATGCAAATCGACTGAGCGGCAGAAGGACCCGTCACTATGAGGCGCGCTGCCCATCCGGGGGCAGACTCTCAACGCAGGAGTTGCCCCCTGGGGTCAGGGCTCAGCCAGAAGCCAGGCTCAAGGAGCAGCAGGCCGAGTGGTTAAGGAGCAGCGTGCAGGCGGGCAGTAAGGAGCGAGGGCTGAGGGGCTGAGTGCAGGAACTTGACCTCCCAGGATCGCCTGTTCATCACAAGCACATCAGTGACTTGGCAGAGACCACTCAGGACAGCAGTTTCCTAAGCACCTAACCGAGCGACGATGCCTAACCCACCACAGGGTGTGTGGAGAGCACTGTCTTCCTGCGTAGGCAGAAGATTCCACTTTATCACCAAATATTACTGTTTCATTAAGACACTGTCACCCGGGCAGGCTGCTAGTCACGCAGGTGAGACCTCCTCAGGGGGAGGAACAAGGAGGCCGGAGAGGAGCCCAGGAGAGGAGCCCAGCAGCAAGCTCCCAGGACACGGAGGTTCTGACCGGCATCAAATACATCTGGTCTCAGTTGTCTCTCAGCTCCAGGCTCAGAAAAAGCAGCCAAACCAGACAAGTCCCGTCCCAGCTGACCTCAGGACCAGCTGCAGACTGATGAGCCCCTGGCACCGACCAATCAGCAGAGCCCAGCGTCCTGAGAGGACTCAGCTGGGAGCTGATGCAGCGTCTATGGAGGTCCTGCCCTGGGGCCGCCCCGAAGAGCCCTCCTCACAGGCCCTGAGGACAGAGGCCCCGGGACCTCTGGGGCCCCTCCCCGCCACTCTGCTTCCCCCAGGGTGTTGCCTTTACCCTTCTCTCTCCTAAGGCCCAAGGCCCCTGCTGTTGCCTTTGTCACCTGTTTCCTGAGCCCATTCCTTTTCCCGTTCACTTCTACTTCGGACTTTCGAAGTAAACTTTCTCTTATTAAAAACAAACAATGCCACCCTGAGTCCGAATGCACCCTCCATCAGAAAGCAGTGTCTGCATAAACACTGACCCGTACCTTCAAAGACATCTGTCATTTTGCAGATGTGGGCAAATGTCGCCCCCGTGGCCCAGGTGTGCACTACATCCATTAAGTGAGGTTTGAATGAGCTCAGGTATGTTTCCTCATCAATTTCCAGTTTGGCTTCTGCTGAAACTTTTGCAATTCGTTTAGCACATTCCTTTGAAGATAAAAGATACACTTAAAATTGACTTGTGACCTCACCTCTTCATCTCCAACGCCAGCATTCCACCAGGTCCCCTCTTCTTACCCAGCACGTGCCTACACGCTGGATACACTGGTGCCTTTTCCATTGTTAAATGAACAGACAGCAACGTTTCCCCATTACGCTGAAGTAATATATCAAGATCATGGTTTTCACCAAAAAAAACCACAACAGCAACTGCTGGAGCATTTGAGATTTTGCTCCCCAATATACCGGCACAACATCAGTTGACTCAAATAAATTCTTATAAAAAATAAAAAACAACCCAGAAACTATTCATGAAAATTATACAAGAGTAGCACTTAACCAATCTCTACTTGTTTCATTAACAAAACAAAAACAGTAATAAAACAGATTTAGGGAAACACATCATATGGCAAAATAATGCTTTTCCCTCCAATAAATCTTCAAAAAATGTAAATCTGAAGATTTTCCTTGCCCATAATGAGCACGTTAGATTCGCCCTTTTATCCTTGGTAATTAGGAGGTGAAAGCACCTGCCGCTACAGAAACGCCTGGGTTCTGGGGGGCGCAGAGGGGCTGCTGCCGCTCCACCAGGGGCCCTTTTCTCTGCCGCACCTTTCATTCCTCCCTTCAATGTCTCCCAGTTCGTCCTTCCCTATCTTCTGTAAGACGCTGGAAGGTGGACAAAATAATTCTTCCCAAGAAAACAGTAACGGACACAAATTCATTACTCTAAGTTACTGTGACTTTGAGAAGCCAGAGATAAATAATTTCTTAGGATAAAACAGACTTTAAAACTTTGTTGTAAACTAGAATAGAAAAGTAAACTAAAAGATAAAGCTAACTAAACCCTCGTCCATCAAGATGGCGTTCTTGCTGAAACCGGTTTGGCTCAGTGCATAGAGCGTCGGCCTGCGGACTGGAGGGTCCCGGGTTCGATTCCGGTCGGGGGCATGTGCCTGCGTTGCGGGCACATCCCCAGTGGGAGGTGTGCAGGAGGCAGCTGATCGATGTTTCTCTCTCATCGATGTTTCTAACTCTCTGTCTCTCTCTCTTCCTCTCTGTAAAAAATCAATAAAATATATTAAAAAAAAGAAAAGACGGTGTTCTTAGCCTCGAGGAAAATGAGACAGACATGGACCTGCTGCTGCAGTATCTGCAGGGTGACTGTTAATCTGCACTCACAGCCACCTGTGCAATGTATTAACTGGTGAAAAAGACTGTTTAATCATAAAGTAAAAACCACAGTGACGTGCGATGCCGAAAGTAGCATTAAGTGATGAGACCAACAGCACGTGACAGCCTCACCCCAGAAGGACATGCGTCAGAGCAGCTGTTTACAACCTCCTACTCGTAAACGGGCGGTTCAGAGTCCTACCTGCATCTGGCGAAGGGGCCCCGCCAACTGCTCGGTGAGCTTGGGCATCTCACTGGACTGGGAAAGAAAAGGGTCAGCTGTGAGAACCGACAGCCAATCAGACAACGCTCTGACGCGTCACGTCCCTGCGGACCTGTGTTTCCTAATCAACTCGGGTTACGAAAGCAAAAATGCCCCCTCGCCCTCACCCCCGGCATTCGCTCCTGCAGAGGAAAGGCCGCTGCGGAAGCGCAGAACGCTAACGGGCCGCGCCTGTGCCCGGGCTGGAGCCGAGGAAGAGCAGATACTGCGAACACACGCAGTTCAGTTACATCCAAATTAGCTGAGTTGTTTTATCGTAGTTTGATTTTGAAACAGCTTTGGCTTCCAGGCAACTCTTTACCTGTGGAAACTGAAAATTTGGGACAAAGAACGTTAAAAGCATGCCCTCAATTTTCATGTTGCCACACTATTTCTAGCTCTCTAACAAAGTACAAGATAGTTAAGGTTTTATTCCGAGTTTGTGTTCTTAATGTTGCCTTCCCACCAGTGACAAGTTTGCCAACTTCTCAACTGGAAAAACAGGTGTTTCAGGCCTATTACTAACTACCCACATGCACTCAGACAAGCTGCTCAAGTCGGTGTTGGGGTCTCACCCCGTCCAAGAGAAAAAGGGCAGGCCCTGAAGACCTACAGGCTTGTGATTAGAATATAGACATGATCTGTGAACAGATTTTGACAGAGAGACTTATGCAAAACCAAAATTATTATAAGAATGGCATGTATGCACATGTGAGACAGGACTTAAATTACAGGTAAATTTTTAACAAAATACCTATAGGCTAGTTACAATAGCTATGTCTTTCTTTTAGGCACAGTATTCACAAGGCCTTGGTTTTCAAGTGCATCGTGTGTGCGTGTCTAATAAATCATGACCCAGGCTCCACGTCACACCTGTTAAATAAAACACCATGACGCGTGAACTCAGGTTCTCCTTTAACAGGAGAGAGCAGGGCTGCTCAACATCTTTGAAATGATGTCCACTCAAGGTCAGCAGGCCCCAAAGGTGTCCTCCCTCGGGCCCTGTAGGTGGAAGGCACGAGTCCTCACTAAGGAACTAAGTGAGGTCTCCCCCACGCTCTCCACCAGGTGTGTGCCGTCTGCCCCTCATCTCTCCTGTAACCCTCAATTCCAAGTTCACCCTGATCCGTGAGGCCTTTTCTAATCCCCTTACTTAAAACAGCAACCCCACCCCAAGATCTCTCACTGCCCCCTCAGCCCCACAGACACAGCCCGCAGCCCGCAGCTCCGTGCCTGTGGCCTTCACCCTCTAGCATCTAAGTGCCAGGAAGGGAAGCATTTTATTCCATCTCCAGAGCCTAGAGTTGTGCATCGCACACAGTGGGTGCTTAGTAAGTAGTTGTTGCGGAGACTGTATGCTTTCTTCAAATGGTTTGAAAACGGTCTAATGGTATGAAAAATGTGGGGCATGGTGTGAAAAAAACACACTTTTAAATAGAAGTCAGTGTACCAAGCAGACCACTGAGTATCTTACTGTCTTCACCTTTCTTTCCAGCTGGAAAGCACTGGGCCTGTTGGTGCAATTTTTCGTCCTGATGTTGAATGGCACCAGCACAAGAACCGAGGGCCCTGCCCCCCGTGTGGCTCACAGAACAAGCTCCCCAGGGGAGCGGCTGGCCGAGCCCAGCTCCTCTGAGGAGGGGATACACGCCTCTCGGAAGCCAGGACGTGTGGGGCCAGTGAGGCGCCCCTTCCCCACACCCTGCCCTGCAACCTCTATCTGCTCAGAGAAAACTGACAACGCTCTTCACAACCAACCACCTTAGAAACAGTGAGAAAGCTGAGCCCAGGAGCAACAAGACAGTTTCCCAGGAAGTGCCTCCTCCTGTGGCCTCACTTCGGTGCCCAACGAGGGCTGGGAGCAGGACCTGTGCTCTGGGCGCTGCCTCCTCACCCCGCCCCGACTCTGACCTGCCTCATGAGTGAGGAGCCAAAAGACCATGGCAGACTGAAAAGCAACGTGTCTGACACAACCCACTCACAGTGAAGTGGGTGTGCAGGGTGAAGGGCCTCTAAAAGCAGGCAGCAGCATTAAGTTATGTTCAGAAGGCAAGTCTGATTCTGTCCATTTCACCACAACAAAGTTTAAATCTGAAATGTGAAACATGCACGTGACCTTCTTAAATAAAACAGGTCACACTGGTTTTGGGGTGAAGTGCAGGTGGTCCCGTGGACAACTAGGTGCGGACCCAGCGGTGAGGCTTGGGCCAGCCCTGCACCCGGACCAGGCGACTCCGCCCGCAGGAACAGGAGTGGGAGTGGCTTCCCAGCGACCCCCAGCACTGGGAGGAGGGACAGTAACCCAAGATGGCCCTTTCATTTTTACTAGTTTTGCCAAATTTTACTTTCACTCATCTTTTTCTTTCTAGGGCTGTCTTCTAGGCCAGACCTTCAACAAGGCATCAGGTTATGGAACAAATTTAAAACTTGGTATCTGATTAACCATCATCCAAAAATAAAATCCCAGTTCACTCTCCTTTCTGATAACATGCATCAAATTCTTACTGTACTTGGGTTAAAGTTGTACTGACTTCTCTCTCACATTACCCATCACAGGTAATGGGGAGGAATTCTTTTATAACGGAACTGCCCGTAACGGCACTACAGCCACGTGACAGGCGGGGATGAGGGGCAGCTGTGCCAGGGAGGGACTCACGTTCTCTTGGAACACGAAGCAGCTCAGCAGGGCGGTGGCCTGCTCCGCGGACAGGTCGTTGAACAGGCCGTTGAACATCATCTCGGTGAGCAGGAGCTCGTCGGCACTGCGCCCGCGGGAGAGAAAAGCGCCAGCATCAGGACGGGCACACACACACACACACACACACACACACACCCTTAAATGGAACCTTTAACATGTGCTATTTGACCAAAGGAGTAATCAATGAGGAGTGACCAAGATTTACTTAAGGACCCGGCAGATCATTATAGTACCAGCATACAAATACTAGAGTGGGCGTTTCAGACAAAGACCCCATTCTAGCAAATACCAAGCTGCACATATTCCTTGAGTTAAAGAACCATCACTTAACTCTCAGTAACCAGGAAGAGGTCATCACCAGCCGATTATTATCTGAGTCCAACCATCTTTTTAATTGTTTCTATCTCTCCTTTCCTCTCTAAAGTCAATAAAATTATATATATATATATCTACCTACACTAATAAAAGAGAAACATGCAAATTGGTGTCACTCTGCTACACCCACCAGCCCATCAGGATGAGTATGCAAATTAACCCAACAAAGATGGCAATTAATTTGCATATGCAGCAGAGCGAAGACGGAAGACAGCATAGAAGGAAGCCAAGCGCTGCAGAAGGGAGCAAAGCTGAGGAGGAAGGAGCCGAGGCAGCGGAGAAGGGAGCGAAGCCTTCGGTGGGCTTTGCTCCCTTCTCTGCTTCGCTCCAGCCGCAGGAAGCCCTATTCTTGCAGGAATCTTCCTGCAACGGGCCTCTAGTATAATAATAAAAACAGAATATGCAAGTCGACCGAACGAAGCCGGGGCTGCATGAATTTCATGCATTGGGCCTCTAGTATATCCTATATATACATGAAGTGAAAAACTAAACTTAGGTTCCTAATGGTAACCTGAGAGGTCAAGATTACTTTAATGCAGGAGGAGACAAGAAAGGTAATCTTGCGACAGTGACCTAAGAGCTTTACAGGTGATTACATTAAAAACGTTGACATTCTCCGATCAGAAAACTTCAGAGCAAGGTTCAGAAGGTTGTGGGGAAAATACACGGAATTAGCAGGACATGAGCAGAGCACAGAAAGGCCATGCTAAGCGAGAGATGGAGTGAGAAACGTGGCCACAGGCAGGCTAGAGAGCAAAGGGGAAGAACACACTGGATTAGGGAGCTTATTCTAAAAGCAACAGAGAATCCCTCAGAGACTGTTACCCAGAGAAGAGGGGCACAGAAGGGTGTGCTCCGGAAAGAATACCAGGAGAGGATGAAGGACGGACTGCAGAGGTGGGGGGCAGGGGGTACACAGGAGGGCTCATGCAGACCCGACTCCCGCAGGAGGCTGAAGACAGCCTGGGAGGACGTGAGGAGACGGAGGGGGAAGGAGTCGAGGATGCCTTCCAGTTTTTGCTTTTAGTGGCTGGGATTTATTCCACAAAACAGAGACCAGAGGGAGAAGCAGGGAAAGGAAATGACTTTAAACTTTCCATTTTAAAGTAAGATCAATACCATTCTTCCAAGACCAATCCACAGCTGCAGAAGCCTCAGAGATGAATGTCTACAGGATCAAGTCCTACATAACTCGACAAAGAAATCATTTTGGTAACATTAATGCTGGCAGGTGAGCTGGTAGCAGTGCTGTGACTAGAGTTACCCTGGGTGAATTATTCACCGATGGTGCCTAGTTTCTTTAACTACCAAGTAGGAAAGCTGAACTGCATCCCAGGTTGAAGGGAAGTAGGAGCCTGTGGGGCAAATATAATTTGAAGAAATGTGTTTTTATTTGCTCACACAGTGACTAAAACCGACCCTGAATCGCTGTGTGAACATTGAAAAGTCAAGAGGCTGCACCTCAAATGCTGGAGTGAGAGTCTGACAGGACACTATTCGGGGATGACCACTGACTGGGTCTGGGCGCTCGTGGCCCATGGTGGCCGAGGACTGTCCCTCTCCAGCCTCCACCAGCTCCTGCAGTCGGAACCAGACCCACAGGAACAGGAGCCGTCCCTACTAGCAATGGCTGACACCACAGCCACTGCCACAGTCCTCTGGCCCGTCCCCGAGGCCCCAAGAAGTACAGAGAAAGCTGTTTCAAAGGGTCTCATGTGGACTCACTGAGACGACGGGGCGTGACCGTGGCCGCAGCACCATCTACCTCAGGCTGACAACACTCGCCTGGGACCAGGAAGCCAGACCTGTGGTTTCAAGCCATTTACTTTACGGCCATTTGTTCTTTTATTGTTTTGTTGCTTTTGTTTGTTGGCGGTGTTTCTGACGGCCACTGGTAAGCAGTGGCCTACAATATTATGCTGCAATACCCTCCTGCAGCCCAAGATTTTAACAAAATCTCCTGTACATATAGAAGAATAACAGTTATTAGACTAAGTTTCAAGGTGGGGAAATGTTCATAATTTTTTTTGTTGTTGTTCATCCTCACCCGAGGATGTTTTTTCCATTGATTTTTAGAAAGTGGAAGGGAGGGGGAGGAGAGAGAGAAACACTGATCTGAGAGACACACTGATTGGTTGCCTCCCCCATGTGCCCTGACCAGGCCGGGGACCGAACCTGCAACTGAGGTACGTGTCCTTGACCAGAGTCAAACCCAAGACCCTTCGGTGTGCTAGTCATTGCTCTAACCACTGAGCAACAACCGCCTGGGGCAAAAGGTTCATCATTTTAAAAAGGATAGCCTTAGCCAATCGACGTGTTTCTCTTACACTGATGTTTCTCTGTCATTCCCTCTCTTCCACTCTCCCTAAAACTAAATGGAAAAGTATCCTTGAGTGAGGATTAACAAAAAATAAAATATGAAAAATAGGTAAATAAAAAATAAAAAGGTTACAAAATTGTGCATGAAATAAGATTTAAATTACGTAAAAATCCCACGGGCATTAGAATAAGTAAAAAGGAAATACTTCAAAATGCCAAAGCAGTTCATGTCAGTTCACGGAATCCAAGAGACTGAAGTGCTTTCCTCTTCTAAACTCCCAATGTCACGGTCACTGCACTTCACGTGAAAGGTGCTGGCAGGCGCCAGCCCTCAGGCAGCTCTTTTCTACCAGATGAACAGCCCACCGCGCTGCCTCACCTGCTGATCTCACAGGCCACTCGTCCCTTCATCTCTATGACATCGGAGGAAGTGGCAAACCCCAGGCGCCGTAGCACGCGTTTGCGACACTTGAGTTCATCCATCTGCAGGACTGTTCTTGCTTTCTTGAGTTCTCGCTTTGCAGATTTAATATCTATTGCGATCTAAGGCATCCAGAAGTATAAAGGAAGCTCAGTAAAGTGGACAAAGTAAAATGGGACTTACTCAGGTCACAAAAACATTCCCCCAGGACGCTCCACCACACACTTCCCTGTCAGAGCCCTAACAGGAAGAGGGACATAGGAGTTTCTTATGCTGCGTTCCTGGACCTTCCAATAGCAGTGGTTCTCAACCTTCCTAATGCCGCGACCCTTTAATACAGTTCCTCATGTTGTGGTGACCCCCAACCATATATTTTTGTTGCTACTTCATTATTGTAGTTTTGCTACTGTTATGAATTGTAATGTAAATATCTGATATGCAGGATGTATTTTCATTGTTACAAATTGAACATAATTAAGGCATAGTGATAAATCACAAAAACAATATGTAATTATATGTTTTCCGATGGTCTTAGGCGACCCCTGTGAAAGGCTCGTTCGACCCCCAAAGGGGTCGCGACCCCCAGGTTGAGAACCGCTGCCCTAGAGGAAGACTAGGGAAACTGTGAAATTATGGAAAACACAAACGTCCACTGACAGCCTGAGCAGAGCAAGGAGGCGCAGGGTCAACAGCCTCAGGAGGCGGCAGGAGCGGAAGGGAGGAGCTGCGCAGCCACCGGCTGGGGAGGAAGCTCAGGAGGCAGCCAGATCCGCGTGACCCCAGGGCTCCTTGACACGCTGCCCCTAAAGCAGCAAGTCCCACGGCTCCAGCCCCTCGTCCTCGTGGAAGCAGGGGGAGCGGAGAGAACAGGGACAGACTCTCATCTCTTGACCACCTCGATTTCCCCCACGATCCTTGGGGTACAAGTATCCCTTCGCTCTGTCCTCAAATTACAACACAAACTGGGAAACGGCTTCAGCAAAGAGAACAGGTCTTTATCCTACAGACAGAGACGGAAGCTTCAAAGTACACGGACTTCGAGGCTGTCCTTGAGGGGGTGAGTTTTAAGGTTCAGCTAATCAGTAACTTACAAACGCTTCTGCTGGGACAAGAGTGTGATGGAAACCAGAGTCCTGAAGCAGAGGCTCAGTGCTCAGAAAAACACCGACACGAAGACAGGCTAGGGACTGGGAAGCTGGATTTTGCAGACTTTATATTAAGCTTCAGTTTAGGAGTAGCTATTCTGAAGGCAATGATGGTGGCCAGTTTATTCACAACTAAGGATGTGCCCTATTTACAGTTTGCATTATTATTCTCATAGAATCATACGTGGCAGTAACTAATATTAAATGTAGACCTTATGAAAACGCGTTACAAGCGTTAAGGAGGAAGTGACGTGTACAGGACAAAAGATTCCAGGTGCAGAGAGGTGGACAGTGGAGCGGGATGTGTTCGCTTCCAAAAGCTTTTTCTGAGTTCATTATTCAGAATGGCTCTAAGATCACCTTTTCTGCTTGGAGATTTCCGCTTAACACCATGAAAAGCTGTACTACTACAGCTTCGTACCACTAGGATGGCTACAATAAACGCAGACAATGACAAGTGCTGGGCAGGATGTAAAAATGGGAATTCTCATAAACTGCTGGTGGGATGCAGGGCAACCACTTTGGAAAATTTTGGCAGTTTTCTCAGAAAGTTCACCCTAGAGTTACTGTATGACCCAGCAGTTCGACTCAATGCCACCCAAGAGAGATGAAAACACATATCCGCACAAAAACTTGGACACGAATGTTCACAGCATTGTTCTTCGTGGTGGCCCAGGTGGAGAAACCCCCATGCCCATCACCTGACGACTGGATAACGCACTGCGGTCCAACAAGCCATGGAGCCACGCCCGAGCCGGGCAGCACATGTGCCCTGCGGTAAAGCACGGATCCATGTGGCGACACGGTGAACCTTGCAGACATACGCCAAGTGCAAGAAGGCCAACACACAAGGCCACACTCTGTATGCCTTTCTGAGATGAAACCTCCAGTGCGGGCACATGGTAGAGGCAGAGAGCACAAGTG